GAAGCATAGATGCATGCAAACCTCTGCTCACTCAGTCTCATGTAACCGGCAGCTGCCGCTATTGCTCTCCGCAAGTATTAGCGCTACAGTACATCTTGGTACATAAAACTGTATTTCGCGGCGTGCCTCGATTACACACACACACGAATACTTCTTTGCAACTCCGCTCGTTTATATAAGTGGATCTGGTACCATCACATATCAAAAATGCCTGGCAATATGCTGCGGGTTGCTTTTTCGCGATAGAGCGCGTTTTACCATCATTGCTCAAACACTATCCTATGGCAGAAAAAGCAGCACCTAGAGTGGTACCATCGGTACTGTTCGCCCCTGTCCTGCAGGGCAGATTGCCAGCTCAGCAGGCTGCAACCACAACACTTACGCGAGCCTCCGTTAGAACACGTGCTGCACTCGTCCAAATGTGATAGAGCCTTTCTGCATACGGCATGATACCCACAATACCCTCTGTGCCGAGCCCTGATCCCCATACCTTGCGCAGAGCATCGACCCGCGCAGGCCACAACACTGCATGTGCCACGGCATGCGATGCGTACGTCCCGTAGCAGCTCACGAGAACACCGTCGACCGCAAGGCGCCCTGAGCGAGTCAACGGCGCATAGAGACCATTGTGCGTTACTAAAGTCTCGATTGCCACAACGGGGTCCGGCAGCTGCGCAGCAACGTCCAGCAGAGCGTCGCCAACGCGGATATCTTCCGCGAAAACTGCCACAACGGCGGAGGTACCCAGCTCAAGGCTCTGACCTACGTGCTTCTGATGCTGCTGCTGCTGCTTCTGTGAAATACACGAGAAAGCGGTCGTCATACTATCAAAGTCTCTAGAGTGTTCGATCACTCGATATACCAGATGCTGTCTCGTCAGACGCAGCTGCTTTCCGGAAAGCGTCTTGATCGCAAGAATCTCTGCAGTAGCGCCGGGCTCGTTATGCAACCATCCTAGTACACTGTCTTCGACCAGTTGCCCACGCCCATTGACGCCGATCACGGCCATACCTGATCGAAGCTCGCTTATAAGCAGACTGTTGCCCAGACCATCGATCAGCACCGAGGCATCCGCGGGGAAGCAGACCGCAGAACCTTCGCCTACAGCGGTCTGCGTCACATTCGTTGTTGCCGACGGTGATGCAGTAACGGAGGGCGTCGGTGATGCCGTCGGAGTCGGTGTTGCGGTCGGCATAGGCGTCGATGTTGCGATGTATAATGTGAAGAGGTCGTTATAGCTACCGGAGCTGCCTTGGCCTCCGAATAGGACCGGGTCGTTTTGATCGGTATTCCAAAGAACTGCACCGTATCGCGGAGGTGGAAGCGTTGTATTGCTTGTCTTGTTAACCTCGCCGTAGCTATAGGCTCCATTCGTTGTATCGTCACCGTCTACCCAAGTCCATTCAAGACTCGTAATATTGAACGTCCACAGGTCGTTGCAGACACCGGGTGAACTACCACCGAAGAGATACAGAGTGTTTGACGAGTCTACAAATCCAGAGGAACCGGATCTGTACCCCGGAGTGTTGCTCGATGACGGCACTCCTTTCTCGCCGTATACCGACCCATTCGAACCAACACTGTCATTTCCAGACATCCAAGTCCATTCTTTGGAGCTGACATTGTACAGCCATAAATCATTGAGAAGATTGCTAGATCCGACAATCTGTCCGAAACCTCCAAAGAGCCAAAAGTTCCCATCAAGGTCTCGCCACGATGTGGCTCCGGCACGTCCAGCGGGATAATTGTTCGGCGATGCCTGGCGAAACGTACCATAGCTTCCAGAGGGAGTCTGCTGTTGAGTGCCACCTATCCAGCTCCATTCGTTGGTCACTGTGTTGTACTGCCACAAGTCACCGTAAAGAGGACCAAAAGGTTTGAATCCACCAAAGAGATAAAACTGGCCATCTAGGCCAACCCAGGTTGCGGGTTGGAAACGGGCGCCAGGCGTGTTGCTAGAAGAAGAGTTCCCAAGAGTACCATATATCGGGGAAACATTGGTCTCGGTGGATCCCTGCACCCAGGTCCATTCGCCCGACGATACATTATACATCCACATATCACTATAGCCCGAGTTAAAATTCTGGCCTCCATATAGCCAAAGGTTTCCGTAGCTGTCGCTCCATGAAGCGGATTCCGTCCTCGAAGGCGGATAGTTGCTCTTGTTGGGAACTCCGAGGGAGCCGTATACCCCTTCAGAGTTGAGGGATGCAGAGCCTCCAACCCAGGTCCAAGAGAACGTGCTCAGATTGTAGTTCCAGAGATCACCGAAGACGCCGCTCGAGTCGCTGCCACCAAACAACCAGAGCACCCCGTCAACGCCGGTCCAGAAGGCCGCACCGTACCGCGCCGGAGGCACGGTGCTGGTGTTTGGCACACCCTGAACACCGTAGCTACCTGAACTGTCGGTAGAGTTACTGCCACCGATCCAGGTCCATAAAAAAGTATCTTCGGATGACAAAACTCCACGAACTGAGTGTGTACTCGACACAACCAATACTATCACCAGTAGTCTCACTATGGAAAAATATCTTTTTCGCATATGGGATACGAAAGGGGTTCTGCACCAGTGAAAAGAAAACGCCTCCCAGAGAAACGAGTTGCTTACTATCTATTGGGATAGGGGAGCCTCCAGCTGCTGGTACTGTTGTCACTGCTGTCTCCGTCCGTACCACTACGAGCCTCCACGAAGTATTCTGAGGTAAGCAGCACGGGAGCGCGTCAAGCACCGCCGTCTGAATGACGCAGATCTGCGCACGGCGCTCCCGAAACGGGACATTTCTAGTATAAACGGACAAAGATATTTTGCAGCGTCTGCTACTGAGTTTCATGATGGCGCTCTCGTAATGGCAGCACAAGATAGTCGTCTACGCCGCAGTCGTGTTTCAGATATGCATGCAGAGTCCAAACCTCCAAAAAGGCTAATGTCGTGCCCGTCGCGCATTCAGACCCGGCCTGATGTGCCCCAGTACGAAAAACTCCCTCTTTCTGCACGCTATCTGCATGTTTCTTGACACCCAGACTGGGGGTTCGTTAGGCGTCCAGATACCCTCAACATTGGATTATGGGCTTTCTGCCCGGCCGGAAAGGTTGCGTGCATGCACGTGCGAACTATATTGTACAACCACGTTCCTCATGGAATCAATATACCAATAACTGAAACATATTTTAGTTCTGTGTTCGCGCGCGGGGCCGTCCAGATAGCTTGCGTCAACGCAGTGGTTCATACTGAAGCACTTGCTGAGGCATGCGTCGAGGTCGACACCAATACCGACACACTTGGAGACGCAGTTGCAGTCGCAATAACGGCACTCGGAGACCGTGTAGCACTAAACACCACACACTGCCTGTTGATACACTCCTCGCCAGAGCGGCAGCAACGCACCTTGTTCACAAGGTTGTCCGAAGGCATCAGGTACGTCCCGGAGTGAACTGTAGAGTCCTTGCATACACAGAATGACGGCAACGGCACCTGTCGCTGCTGCTGCTGCTGCTGCTGCTGTTGCACGTTATTGCTGTTGCTGAACGGGTTTGACGTGCAATTCTCCATCTCGGCGTTGCAGCGCTCCGGGCCGCACAGAATATACGTCGAGTTCGATACGTTGCCGGTCGTGCTGTTCAGCGAGTTCGGGACGTACCCATACGCCTGACAAACATACTCGGTAACCGGCTGGGAGCACTCGTTGCCGGGCCCCAGGCAGCAACCAGCCTAAAGACACTGCTGCGGCGGGTAGCTCGTGCGCTGCGTCCCGTGCTGCTCTCCGTAAAGGACCGTGTTCAGCAGACGCACAAACTGGCTACTGTTGATGTTATTGTTCAGCTGCTGGTTCTGGTTCAGCGCGTTCGAGCACGGTTGGCGCTCAAACTCGCCCACCGCGCACGTCTTCTCAGGCTGGAAGCAGTACAGGTTCGACGCAAAGTCGCTCTGCTGCTTGCCGTTCTGCACCCACTGGTTCTGCGCCTGCGAGTCGTAGCAGCAGCCCTGGGCATAGCAGGTAAACTGGTTGATACCCGCGTTGCCGCACGGCTGGCGCTGCGCTCTCGGTGACGGGCAGAGGGGAACTGGTGCCTGCACCTCCTGGCGCGCTACGGAAGCCTGGGGTGCATGGTTGATGTCGTAGTAGCACCAGGGCGCGAGGATGCCGTTTGCCGTTGGCTGCCAGCAGCATCCCGGTATCGCAGTGCACTCGTCGGGGTAGATGTAGCTCCAACCGCAGGTGACGCGCTGCGTCACTGGAACAGCGCTGCACGCCGCTGAGACGCTCTTCAGGGTGCACGCGTTCGTCTGGGAGTTGAAGCAGCGCCCGACTTGCTCGCAAGCGTCCTGGTTGATGCACTGTACCGGAGATCCGCAGAGCTCATCGGTGCAGATGGGGGTGGGTGTCCGCGTAGGTTTCGGTGTTGGAGTAGGGAATGTTTTCTTTAATGCAAAGATACCATTGAGAAAGTCACTGCCGGTCGTGTTTATGTATCCATTTCCAACAAATATGATCGAATCGGTCTCACTGGTGTTCCAGAAGGCTGATCCATGGCGAGCACCTGGTACAATCCTTGGGTGGGATTCGTTCAATGCTCCATATCTTGCTGGAGCATTCACTACCGAGCTTCCATTAATCCACGCCCGTTGACCCAGTTTGATATCGAATACCCACAGATCGTTCAAACGTCTGCAAGTGCGCTTCTATTGCCATATTCTTCACCGCAAAAAAATACCCAAATAAACACGCTCTGCCCTCTTCAACGACCGCAGTCAGCATTCTCTGGCGCGTTCGATGCGAAGTAGGTCATAGCTATAGCTATATTAATCACTACTTCAGTACGCTTTATGACTTGCGAAGCAATTTTGGTTCACCACTACAGGAGGAATGCCCACCCATCCGTTCAATATCCGATTGTGACAGTGGGGTGTCGTCTCATCGTTACGCTGTTGCTCTTACATCTGTTCTTGAAGCAGCGGTCTGCGCTCCGAAGCTGCATCTCATTTTCATCACTAACAAACCTTAGACAGGGGCCAAGATAGTCGACTTGAGGCCTCGCCGCCGTAACGCCTGGTCGATCAGATCAAGACTCAGTTCGTAAAGCTGATCTGCCTTGTCGATTTCGTATGTTGGTTCAATAACCTGCGGTTTCGTCTTCTCTCGACCTTCCGTATATTTGCCACGCCACTGATAATACGAGCCCGAGTCCGAGAACTGTCCCTGGGTCGCCACTTCGGCTACGCGGCGGCCGGCCTCATCATTCGGAACGTATTGCCGAGTGATGTACTTCTGAAGAATCGGGAAGAATACGTAGCGGAACCAGCCACGCTTTTCGCGGAAGAGGTTGCTGTCGGCGACACATCCCGGAAAAATCGCCACAGAGGTCACCCCGTCGCGGCCGTATCGATCACTAAGCGCCTTCATTGTCAACACGTTCGCGGCTTTGGCGTCTTTGTAGGCTTTTGTGGGCTCAAACGGGCCACTGTCCACCATGCCCGTCGTCTGCGGACCAAGCCCCGCGGCTAGACCAGACAAATCACCGAGACGAGCCTGCGGGGGAATCTTTCCCGGCAACGAATTCGGCGAGTGTGTCTGAGTCGTCAGAAACACAATGCGCCCGCGCGATATTTTCAGCTTCGGCAACAGCTCCCGACATAGAAGCAAATGGCTCAGATGGCATACCTGCATGGTTTCCTCGATGCCGTCCACCGTGAAACGCGGTTTCTTGTCCCGCGGATGCCAGATTGCGGCATTGCAGATCAGGGCATCCAGGTGGTCGACGCGCGCCACACTTGACAGCTCTCTCACAAACTTCAACACAGAGGCGAAATCAGCCAGATCACAATGCAGCACTGTATAGGCGTCTTTTGGAAGGTTTACGCTGTTTGCTGCGCGCTCCGCCCGGTCGACGTCACGACATGCCATGACGATGTGCCAGTTGCCCTTGTTGATCAGAGCGCGAGCTGCATACAGACCGACCCCAGAGGACGCGCCAGTGATCACGGCGATCTGCGACTGTTTCGGGCCCATACGAAGATGCAGCGCGTGGTGCCGGCGCGCTACAGGCAAACGCTGCACCACCAAAGGAAGCGGATGCTGGCAGTGGTGACGATGTCCAGCTGCGAAGCACCCGTTACGAGGCGTACGCAGCGGGAACGGTGCTCGAGTTGCAGCGCGCGCGCAAACAATATGTCTTTCCTGGTACAGCGGAACAGAAACGAAAAGAGCTTGCATTTTCTTGGATTAGATTTTCTCCGGTGCAAAGCTGCCAATCGCGCCACCAACTAGGAACGTTCGCGTAAGCGTGCGTATCCAGTCAAAAACCTCTTTGGTGTAGCTGCACGAGTGATCGTCCGTCAATTACACAGATTCTGACCTCAGTCTCGTGTAGACTTCCAAGCGTTGAGTGGAACTAGCACAAGCGCTCTGTATCCTTTTCAGAAACCAGTTAAAGCTCCCAGTTTTCGGACCAGTAACCTCGCAAATACTTCGCGCTAAGAGCTCCGCAAAGTCTTCCTCCGAGATCACGACGATCGCTGCCTGCCGACGAATAGCGCAGCGGAGGTATAAGGGAATTTACTCCTGCGGGATAATTTGAGCGCACATGCATCTGCCAAGGCGATGCTTCGAATACCAGAGACATTAGGGAATTCCCTCACGTGCTATGCTTTCTTTGGTTCGACGGAACGTTTCCACTCAACATATATCCCAGATTGCTTGATAGATATTGGCTGTCGGGAATGCGTCCATCATGGTGAAAAATTTCTGTACGTTCCAACGTTTTTATTTACTCTCGGCTGTACTGGTTGATTCATACTTTCTATCGTGCTCCGTTTGCTTGCCATGAGCACCCGCCGTAGCATCTCTATCGCTGATGCGGATGCGCTACGGAAACAGAACAGCTTCGGCATACCACTGAGCGCGTCGGAAGAGGCTTGGTTCCCTTGACACGGAACCAGGGCTATTTATACTTCTGGGAGCCTCCAAGCTGGACACGCTGACCTACTGCCTGTAACAGCGCGGCGCTTTATACTGGGAGTCATCTTCGACCAGTGCGACGCTCACCTGCAGCATACCCTCTCCTACCGGAAGAATAAACTGCGTTGTGGATGAGTTGCCCAGATCGCACTAAAGCACCTGTCACTTGGGAAGCATAGAGCACGTGCCCCGCACACATGTGCGGCTCGCGTGGCCTTCCTCCTAGAAGGCAAGCTTTCTAAAATACGGAAACCTTTTCTTCTTTTATCGCTTAGCATGAAGTTCGAACGAAATTTATCTTTCGTTACTAGTTAGTGTTTAGTTTCTGTTCTTTTTTTTCTGTTGCGCGGTCGATAAGCGCACCTTCATAGCTGGCAGGCATGAGACACGACTTGCATCTCGCAGCTAAAGCGAGACGCGATCCTTTGTATTCGCGTGTTGCGCTAACGTAAAATATATTTACTAAAGTCGTAGCAAAGAATAGATTTCAGTTCAACCGTGTACCAATCCCCAAGTAAGTATGTCCAACTGATTTTTCGCGGTTTATGCCAGAAGCATTCAGAATGCGTTCATTTTCAAAATAATAAGAAAGGAAAGTTGTGGAATAGGGAGTGGAGGATCCTGGAGAGCCGGTATCGCCGGCTGCGGGAGAAAAATCGAAAACCAGTGCCAAGCTCATAGGAACGGGAGAGGACCAAGAACCAAAGGCAGGAGGCCCTACGTCAAACGATGCAAGGAAGCGACAGTACGACGAGATGCTCGTGAATGCCTCTCTTCTTAAACATGTTAAGAACCCGTACAAGGAAAATTTGTGAGAGGCCATCAGAAACTGTGTCAATTTGTACTCCAGGAGTATTCGTAAAGCTTCTTTAGCACTGGTTTATATGGTCAAGGAGATGTACTACGACGTTACGTGCATCAAAAGAGACCAGTTTCCGGAAGAACTCTTCGACAAGACCTTTATTCGCCACCTGATGGTTGGCACGGGGAAACGTCTACAATAAATGGGCTAGTGCATTCCCTCCACGAAACCAACGCCGAATTCCGGTTCAACAATTATCGATACAAGGAAGACGGGGATATTTACTGCTCTGGGGCCATGAAGTACCTCACCAACCTGGAGAAACACGTGATTGTGAACCTCGAACGCTTCATGATACGCTGCACCTCTGCGCTGTACCCGAGCGTCTCTCGCAAAGGTATATGGGCCATCATCAATGGCATCGCCAACGGTCGCCAGCATGAAGAGGAGATCGAATTTGTCGGCAAGAAGATACTACGCAGGGGAAGGAATGAAGCTTCTGTAATCCCGGCGGCTATTCAAGAGCACCGTGCTTTTCTGAGGCTGCTCAACCCAGCAGACAAAATATCAGATATGTAAAAAGATGAAGAAAGATGTTATCGCTTCATTCTGCCGTTTCTCGTGTTGTTGGAACGAGAACTCGAACGCAAGACCGAAAAGCAGCTGGATGTGGGAAAGTATACAGTCGGAGAACCGGAACGCTGCCCTAATGGGGAAGCGCTTCGACGTCGTTCCCTTACGGAGCATCAGATTACAGTGTGTGACAATGGACTCCTCAGCTCTTCAAGATACCATGAGGGATTTTTTGTACGGAGTTCGATGTAAGGAAGATAGAGTTCACTTGCGAAAACCGGGAGACGAACATGAAAATTACCCCTCCATTTCATACGTCTCGATGCGGGCAAGAAATAATGCATTCACAGGCACCATGGAAACCGATGGCATGTCTATGCGTGTAAACTATCGGGGTCGAAGAAACATTGTCCAGTCCCGCCCTCGGCTGCGCCGGTGACGAAGCACGGAGATGAGAAGGAGGCGGATCCTGCGATGCAGGAAGTGCATGAGAATGACATTGTCGTTTTGCGCGGACGCTGGGAACACGAACATCGTAACCATCGCTGTACCCAAGCGTGTGTAAGATGGTAACGACAACAACTTACATCAGAAGGACATGCGTCTTTTAAAGCTCTAAAGATCGAGATGCTGCCGAGAATCTGGGATAACGAATGCAAGGAAGAAAATTGAGACATGGAATGTAGGTATGAAGGATCACCTGGAAGGTATCAGCGAGGCGACGAGCCGCGGCGCGTACTTTAAATCTTTTCGGAAATTCATGGAAGTTCGCGTTGCTTATTTGGATGCGCTCTGTAAAGAGTATACAAAGCCCCGGTGGGCTCGTCTTCGTATGAATCTATACTGGGGGAAATGGCGTGCGTTCGCGAACTTTTTCAATGAGTTGTGCGCCCTGAAGGAGGATGTACGTCAGGGGCTCGTAGTAGCACACGGAGCATGGCGCTGGAAGACCCGAAAAGGGTGTGCATCAGCATCAACGACGAGAACGTACAAAGCTTGCGCAAGGCATTTCGTTACGATACCGATGGATGAGTTCCGAACATCGTATACACACCATGAGTTGGAATGCACACCTCAGAGGGTGGAGATGGAAAAGTGCCTGCGGAGCCTTGATGATACAAAAAAGTACAGACCGCTGACGGAAGAGCAAACGGAAAGGAGGGCAAAAGTTCGCGGGCTACTTGCGTTAGTATGTACAACCAATGATGGTGAGAAACATATGGCATTCGTGAATCGTGACTACAATGCCGCTATCAATACAACAAGATATGCGGTGATGGAGACGAGTCCTCCAGAATAGACACGAGGGAACTTTGTTGGACAATATGCCAAAGTGGAACTATATGAGAAAACAATGGAAGCAGTAGTAGGTGGCCGGTCCAAAAAGACAGAGGCGTCTGCACATCAGTTGGAGACGTCTCGTCAAGGCGGGTTTCTCGCCACTACTGTACTGTCGACCGCAGCGACGTTTGTCTTTCGAAAGTCGTTCGCTGATCGTAGAACACGCAGGAAATGTCAGAGACGGTCGATCCAAAAGTCGAGATTGAGGAGTCATGTCGGCCGCAGTGTATAAGGCAACTAATAGAGTACGAAGACTGCACCAAACGAATCGAAAACGACCCAGCCGGCGAGGCGCACTGCACCGGCCAGTACCTGGACTTTTGGCGGTGCATTGACTTGTGCGTAGCCTCGAAGCTTTTCGTCCGCCTCAAGTAGGAAAATAACGAGTTTGTACGGATTGCAAAGGCTTTTTGGGTTGCCGAACCTGGTTTTGAAGTCGAAGCGCTTGGCGCCAGTCTGTCAGGTTCGCTGATCGCGCCGCGCGGGCCGTGCTCTGCAACCGAACCAAAGAGGCAAAGAACGCGCCAGTGCGTTTGAGAACGCCTTTCAAACGTCAAACGTAGTTCTTAAGCGGCAGGACAAGGTGCTCGGTAGACGCGTTCGCCGATCGCGATGCGGTGCTCCTTTTTTTAAGGGGCGCATCGCAGGGAATCTATTTTCCAACAGACGTTTAGTGTACGTGGCGAACGCACACATCCGGAAGTGTGCTTTTCTGCTCCAATTATGCAGTCGATATGCCCAATTGCCGTTCTGGACACTACTCACTGCCCACTAGGTCGACCTGGGCACGTGCACTGCTCCCGTGTCGAGCACATCTGCTTGCGCTCAACACCCAACGCTACTGGTAGTACTCTGATGATCTCTCCGGTGATACCCAGGACGCGGAGCAAGGCAACAGAACAGGAATCCTCGGCTAGAATTCGAAGCGATCGAGCGGTCCAGGTCGGTACAGGACGACGGTTCGTGTGCAAGTTACAGACCTGAAGACTTCCACCGTAGGACTTGCATCTGTGCTTGCACCTAAAGCTATGATTTTCATCGCATTTCGATTGAACGAACATTGAGAATCGCCTCGCAGACGGTGCCTCTGAAACCATCAGCAATCGACGCGTCTCGGAACGCCCAGCAGCGTTCATCACGAACGCGTGCCGCACCCCTGAATCCACCCGCATACACAGGATACTCTACACCTTCTGCGTGGGCATACAATTACACAGGCACATAGACACACATAGACAGCCTGGAGCGCAGCAGATTCTCTTTCCCACAGCGCCCGCACACACAATGGATCGAACGTCCAAATGTGTGACACGAGTGTGACAACGCACGCATGCACGGCAGCCATAACGCCGCGTGTCCACTATTACTATTTTATTCCTAACTGGCACTGTTGCTCCAACGACAGCGACTTGAGAGTTTGCACTCGAGCATGGCGCCTCGATGTATGGGTACCAGCAGGGGTCACGGTTTCGGCGCCTGAAGGGCGTGCTTGTGGTTTGGGGGCTCGGGTGCGCTGCGGGCGCCTGGTGGGTGCGCCGAAACGCCCTCGCTGAACCAACACTACCGAGCGCTTTCTACTCCGCCGCCGTTGACCAGACAGATCTACGCGTGGTTGACGGCAGGTTCCAGAGCATTCGTACGGCTGCCGTGCACGTTAGTAGGCGACTAAGGCGTCACGCTCTTCATGGCTGCTCGGCAGCGCTGCGAGGTCTCGACTGGCTTGGCCTCGCGGTGCCCCCGTTGGAGTCGTCTCTAAAGACGGTAAAAAAGGTTCTAGGCTACCTTGCAATACAAATTGGGTTGACGGCACCGTACCGCCTAAAGAGTAGCTACCCCATGCCTGAACTGCGGCAACGCATCGAAGAGAAATGGTCTGGGTATGGTACGCGACCGGTAGAGACTCACAGGTTGCGGGACTCACTGTCTGTGGACCTGTATATCGTAGGGGATACCCCAGATTGTGCCTTCCAGTTAGCGACTGCAGCAGCCAGGGCATATCCAGCTGCGGTAGCCTGGGCCCAGACTGGAACGTTGCCACCGCCGACGAGCTCTCGAGCGGAAACACCTGCGACCTCTGCACGGTGCCCGGTCGCATCGTCGCACCTGCCTGTACCAGTTCTGCGCCTGCATCTCCCGTTCCGCGATTTTTTTCCACCAGGAGCAAGTCGTGATATGGTACAAATTCTAATTCGTGCTGGTCGCGTCATCAACCGCGAACATGACTGGCTAGGACTCGAGCGTCCGTACGGCGATTCGGGGACGCATTCCGTATCTGATGTGCCTGAAGAGCGCGATCCACACCGCATACCTCGGGGTGTTTGCTTCGATGCGGCTTCCGAGCCCGCAAAAACGCTACCATTGACGGCCGCCATAGAGTCTACTTCCTCAGCTAGGCGCCTTGAGACAGGGGACCTGTCGAAATTGCCAACGTCTATTTCAGGGACCAGCATCCGCCAGGATGCATCCGCAGGATGCACCGACATCCAGATAGACCAGCGAAGCAGAGCTGCGACACGAACATGTGCCTGCACGCTTCTCGGGAGGATCGATCTAACCACATCGGGGCTGGACCTGATCACCGCGGTGGGATCGACACCAGTTACCTCACCGCTGGATGATGCGCTTCGACTTCATCAGGACGATTTTGTTACCTTCGATCGACTATTAGACACTTTCTGTAATTTTATTGAGACTATTCAGGACTCTGTCGCGATTTCATCGGTGCGGGCTACCAGTGGCCGGCTGGAGTCGTCTCGACACGAAGAGCGTTCGCTCCCTGCGCCGGTCGTACTGGTCTTTCACGCATGTCCGCCAGACTTTGCCATCGCAAGTGGTTCGCTTCGTACTACAGATACTGATGAGCAACCGTTCATTAGCGGCCGAGAGATTGGCAGCCTGGAAGATCTCGACCCGGAAGAGTGGGCAGAGTTCAGCCAGCGCCTCACAACTGCGCCTTTATGGAGGGAGACTGGTCCCGAGCTCGCCAAGTATTGGCGGCTCGCAACCCTGGAACTGCTAGAAAGGCTTGCGCACGTCTACCCGCAGCAGCCAATGGAAGCCTGCGACGGACGTGTCCCCGAATCCATTCCGCCCTCGACAGTTTTCGTCGGCCGGGCGCCAGGAGCGCTCGGACTCGCGCTCGTCAACCATCTCGCCAAATCCAGTTGACCAGGGCATCAGCACCTTAACTCTCATTGAGCAACGCGCCAGACTCACTCATCGAACCGCCAACGACCGAGAGAATCCGTTCTAGTGAGAATTGGCGCCGCAGGTGGCTCTCTGATTATGCGACATGCTTCTGCGCACGTCCTGGACCTAATCAACCCAAATCCAGATGTTTCAAGGCGCGCACTGCCCACTTGCAGCAACACAAGCTGACGTCTCGCGGCACCGGTGGCAAGAAGCCATTCAAGGCTAAATACGCATGCGGATGGCGTCCGCTACGTTCAAATTTGATGGCATGCTTCGCCCATGGCATTCACTGGCGGTGCTTGCGGAACTGAATGGTGATGACTCATTCGATAACGGATCATGATTTTACGCGTACAAACACGATATCGGTATGAAACACACGCGTCATAGAGAGCAGTTGCGCTGTTTTCCACGTCTCAGGTACCAGGGACTCTGTGTGGCCTTTTCGAGCTTTCATCCATGCAGCACTCTTTGTGCACGAAGGAGCACAATCAAGCTCCAGCTGACCCGCAGCAAGACGCTGTACTGCTCGCACTGGCGGTTTTCACGCTCATAAAGGCACACGGAGGTCTCTACGCCGCAGTTCGGCCAAGAAGTGCGAGATATCTCGTGGTGCCGTTCCCAACGCGCTGTGATTCTCCTCCAGCCGTCGTAACAGGTACGGCATCACCTCATCGACGCGCCCGAATGGAACGTATTTGCAGGCTCTGAAGCCTGCCCTGGCAAGGCCGAAAGTTAGCGAATCACCCATCCCGTAGAGCTGAGCGAAACGTAACGCCGCGTTTCGGCGCAGTAAAGAGTCGGAGCCAACAAGCTCCACTGCTCGCTGGAGCGACTCCACGTTGTGCGTGGCAAATAGAGCCGCCGCGTGGCCAGCCCGCACCTCGTCGATGAGCGCACTCAGTCCAGCATTGTAGCTCGCGTGTGTATCCTCGATCGTGTCGTGGATGGGTGATAGGTCTGGGCGACCCGCCGCAGCAGCGCGTCGACGCTCTGAGGCCATGTAGGCACCACGCACCTGCTTGACACCGTAGCGGAAACGGAAACGACTCGCAAGCTCGCGGTAGGCCTTGAGGCGTTCCGGTGAATCTTTCAGATACGACTGTACAGTGGAGTACATAATTGCTGGTGTTTCCTGGTCGGACTCAAACGAGCGATTGTGTCGCAACATCATCAGTCCCGCACAGAAATCAATCGCAGTCTGAATGGAGTACTGCTCTGCATCGATCAGCATCGGGACTCGATAGCGCCTTGCCTCAGAACACACCGCATCGAGGCGACAGAGTACCCGCGCGAATTCGAGGCGCTCCGCAGGCGACAAATACTCATTGAAAAGATGCAGTGACACGTGGTCCAAAATCGAATCCGACGGCTGCTTGGGCTCGTGATCCACAGCAGCTCCAGAGCCCGACGCTGCCATGCCGACAGCACCTGCCATGCCAATTTCCGACTCGTCGAATTCGTAAGAGTCAGCTATCGCTCGAACGAGGCCATTTGCATCAAAGTGACCTAATAGCAGGAATGGCGTGCCATCGTGGGTCGTCGTCAGATTCCCAAAACGAATAGCTAATGCCTCGCTGATCCTTTCCAGCAACTCGAACCGAGCAAGCGCTGATACCTTGAGACAGCTGATCGTGTCGCAGTGTCTGGCCTCGTTGCCAGCCCATTGCACCGTCGTCATGAGCACATTTGCGGCGCCGTCGTAACGTACCTCATCAGGAGAGATATCCGATTCCTCCAGGAGCAGACCATCTCCGCGGCGACGCCCGACTGCGGCCGCGTTCATTGGCGCCGCTTCGCCCTCTGCCGAATAGTCGAGAATAGAGCCGACGCCACGAGCACGCAATTTTTCAACGTACTCGCGGCATTCGGAAAGCGTCTCGCCGCCACAGAAATGCCGGAAAAATGTGTACTTAATGAATAGGTTTGTTGATTCTCGCAACAATGGCACGCGCTGTGTCCAGCGATAAAGTGTCGGTGCGTAGCGCACCAGCCATCCCATTTGAGCGGTGCGGAGAACAAAAAGCGATCGAATGAGATCACGCGTTGGCGTTGTGCCGTATGTCGCCTCCACGTCGAACAGGTTCAGGGGCGGAGCTGACTCCAAGCGAGTTTCAGCAGAAGGCGGCGGTGGTAGCAGTCCAGATATCTTGGCAGACGAGGCAACTTCGTTCGCTTCTGAAGCACTCGATGCGAGTGCTGCTGCGACAGCGGCACGCTCCTCAGTAGCTGGTCCACTGGAGCGCTTGCTGGTGCCAGATCCGGACTCCTCCGACTCGAGCGGCAGCGATGAGGCCGGACCAACGGTCACTCCCAGGCTCCGTGACTGCACCCCAAAAGATCGCTGTCGCATGGACATGATTTGTCCTGTTGTGCCTGTCGCTGGATATCTGAGTGATTTCGCATCGTATTCAGCGGACCTCTCAAGCGATCTGCACGACTGCTGGAAGCCCGCGACCAGCTGCCAGGCAGGCGCGTGCCGTGAGCACGCCCTTTGAGCGTTCAACGTGGATGACTGGTGCGCTGCACACTCACGTGACCTTCGTTGCGTGTATTCGCTAGGCGTCACTTCAGTGCGCAGAAGAGACGAAACAGATTGGAGACATATGGAGCGGCGCTCTGTTAGAGAACGCACTAGAGACATTCCCAGCTTGCGGGCAGTTGAGGAGCTGTTCAGTCGCCGTCCAGCCGCTCTGCCGTGGAGCGATTTTTTGCGCGTTCAGTTACTCCCCCCAAAGCAGAGCCGAAGAAGCGCCCGCTAAATCGTCGTAACACAGTCGGAGACGGCCAACTGCCGCTTACGCTCGGGGCACTTGTCGCTGGCGTCACCGTCCCGAACTCGTGATACACGTCTTCGGCAAGAACACGGCTCTAGTGTGCAGACACCGTGAATAGCCTTTGAAACGCAATCGACATTAAAATTCCACAGTGTGCGGCGGCGTGTGCACACACTCTGGTGGTCCGAAGCCTTTTGAAAGAATGCTGGGGTTACTAGGCTGCCCGGCGAGCAAAACAATAACAGAGCGACACAGCTGCGTCAACCACAAACGACGCAAACGCTCCAACCGGAGCCGATTGTGTCAGTGATGCTTTGGAAAAGCCAGTGGAACACCAACTCGATAACAAAGCACCGCTTGCGTTGTACACAACCGACACACTTGTCCCGAGAGATCCGAAGTACGCACAGATGCTGTGGAACAGTCAGTGAAACAGCTGGTCGGTGACAATGCGCCACCCGAGTCGAGTGTAAACAACACCCGAGTTCCAACAGTACCAAATTATGTCACAGATGCTGTGTAGAATCAGCGTAACAGTAACTGTGAGAGCTTGAAATGATTTATCTTGCACCTCAATTGGTCCTGCGTACCAGTGAGCAACCCGCTCCCCGAGAGTACGCCGTCTCAACTGCACCCACAGAGTACAAAGCCGTTGCGGAACAGAGCCCCACACAGGAGCCAGCGAGCCGAGCAGCGACGCGCCATTCAGTTGGACAGTGCGCCGCCTTGCAGGGCGAACGCCCGCAGCGGCGCACAGAAGCCGCCATGGCACGCTCGATGCGCACACGGCGCCACAGCGAGAGCGCCCGCTGCAGGCCCCGAGTCTAGAGGCTCGCAGTATTCACTGGGTGCGTTCGCGGGAGACAGTAGACTGGACCTGGTGGAATCTAAGGCGTATCCGTGCAGGCGAATTGCTGTCTCTGTTCGAGCTGATAGTGGTATGCGCGTTTCCGCTGCATACGCCCAGTCTCTCGGATACATCGATGCTGCAGGATCAGAAAACAAAACGGACGCCTGCGCTGCTGTATCCGATGGCGGCGGAAGCGGCTCGCAACGACTCGCACCACCGGCCGCAAATGCGTGCGTACTCGCCGGTATCCCCTCGAGCCGACGCCCTTTGTGGTACGGCAACGCCGTTCTGTCTCCGTGCTGCGACCGCCCCGGCGCTACAGGCGCCATTGCTGTCGCTTTCGGCAGGCACTAGGCACACACGATAGGACTTATGATACGACCAGAATATTCGAGATGAAGTGCAGGTCATGTAACATGGGAGTAGGGGCTTGATGGATACCTCACCGTGCACTGAAAAAAAACCAAAAGGAAAGAGAAATGTGCATAATCGGAGAACGCTGGCTAGGTAAACGTTTTGTCCATGAAAAAAAACTCGCCGTCATCCGTGCTGTGGCGGCGGGCATGCGTACGCAGCACCTGGAGTCGCACGGTGCGATCGCTGCTACGTGTCCGTTCTCGAGTCGCCGATTTGCGTGGTTGATCGCTCGCTGGACTCACTATGGACAACAGATGGACGCGCTGGTGCAAGTCGGGGCACGGTGCCCGGGGCTGGCTATACAGGGCGTTGATCGGGGATCTCGCAGTGACAGGCTTCGCGTGACTGGATGTGGAGTTGAGTCGCTGGTGCGACTGCCCATGTTTGTGGGCGCTCGATACCAGATACCGAGCACAGTTGAGAAGGCCATCAGGTAGCCTGGGGAAATCCAGCGCGTCTTGGCATCAACGACAAGGAGGTATTTTATTTGTGAATGTTTCCCAGTTCAATGATCGGGGGCTGCTGGCGACTCCCGAAACGTACGGGACGTGATCCAGCTTCGCTGTGCTGGAGCCCAGCGTCCGCCACGTGATTGACGGAGCCGGCTGGATGGCGAAGCCGTGCTGGAGTCGCGTGAAGTTTGCTCAGCGCCCCGGCGGGAGGCCTGGATGCGACGGCACCATCCCTACAAGACGCACGCATCTGTTGACGTGTTGTTTGCCACGAACCTGTCGCACAATGGCCCTGGTGCACCCAGCCAGACAGCCAGGAAGAAGCGAACTTCAGAAAATTCGTTCTCCAAAGGGCATCCAGGGCACCTCGAACTGACGACGAAAGACCAACGAACCACGGCGCATTTGACTTGATAAATATTCTGGGCTCGCGCCATGTATGCGGGCGCTACAGGCTGCAAGGTCAACGACGGGAACGCATTCGCGCACCATCCCAAGCTCCTTTATCCAGACTAGCTACTCTATGCTATGTAGGGACTCGATCCAGCGTCGCCACGTGCTGGGCGATTCATCGATGTTGCATGGCAGTATTCAGCATTGAACACGCTTGCAAAACTTACGGCGTCTGGTCTCATTCGCAGCTGCACTCGTGCATCTCGCAGTATCTGAAAAGACTCGTTTGCCGCTCTGCTACAGATCAAAAAAAAAATCTTTACCTAAAATGGACGCATCCCAACGAAGCACCAAGTATGTCGAATCGGCAGCGTCTCAAGGAGGCAACATGCAGAACCTTCGACTCCCCGCCCTCTGTATGTACGTGATCAGTGGAATAGAAAGAGCTTTGCTACCATGGAGGATACCTACGTATGTACATTTATATGTATGGACTCAAAGACACGCTCCAAGCAATTTTTGACTTGCCCACTGCTGTCTGTTTCAGATTTTCCCTGCACGCTTCGAGCCTGAGAGGCTTCCCCACAAAATTGGCTCGCGTCAGCTCCTCGGTTCTCGTCTTCAGCGCCGCACATCGTATGATATTGAAGGCGGCGTTCAAGTATCGATTCAAGAACTCCATGTGTGTATTTTCGCTAGCACCGATGCATGAATAACTGGAACTCGTGCCCGCTCTACCCCTAAAGTCTCATCATACTCCCATCGGTTAAACACGATATCTCGACTATTTCCCCTCTTCTGCTTTTATTCGTCACTCGCTCCTCCTCGCTCGATGCTCAATGAGAAGAGGATTGTTCGCTTTGAGTTTGTCGGTAGCCAGCGATGACGACTCTCTAGTCCGCCAGCTTCCACATCCATACCTTTCCCATACATTTTTATTTCTTCCAACGAACCCACTTCACAAGCATCTGCTATAGGCCACGTAAAAGCATTTCATGAAACGCACCTCAGGGTGGATAACTACCCAGCTGGAGAGCGCCCATCCACCCGCTCGGGGTATGTCCCCGATGAGTCGATCGCAACGAATCCCCGGGTGTCCGCAGGGGGGCCTGCGTCTGCCGTCAGCACGAGCATCCACCAAGTGCTGCGCTACACAGCTGGTGACGCAGCTGAGGACTCAGAAGTACGCTGCATGCAGAATGGTTCTCAGATAAGCCGTGGGATACCTGAGGAACTTAAACCTGGCTCTTCATTGCAGGCTCTAGCGGGCATATACACATAGACAGAGTGGTGGTTGCTCAAATTGAGGCACGGTCGGTCGACTTGTCCCAGAGGCGACGCGAGGCAAGACTGTTTACCAGGAGCCGTCACTTTGACCCTGACGAGAGGCACTGTGTGCTCTGATATGTGTGCTGAAGCGACCGCTGAAACCTGCGTAGTGCTTGCGCAGCCCGAAAAGGTCGCAACGTCGGGCTTCCAGCAGGCGGTCACTCAGAAGGCACAGCACGTTGCGGAGAGCAGGTCTGCGACTGTCTCTGCGGACACGGAATTCCTGCCACCTTCAGAGAGTCGCAGACCCCCTGAAAGTGACTCGGGAGGGACTCACGCAAGTTCGGAAGTCGAAAGTACCCCCGCGAACGACGCCAACCGCACCGGTGAGCCAGCGACGCAGCACAGCCGACAAGCGAAGCCGTCCATTTTGGCGTTCCTGCCGCTGTACACTGCATATGCCCTCATCTGCGGCGTCCAGAGGGCGTTCACCTTCGTTGTTCCAATATTCTTAATGATAGTCTCACAGCGAGCGCTGAACCGGACGGATGGCTCGTTCGTGCCGGCGGCAATCTACATGCTGAGCAGCCGCGGAGCGTGCTTTCTACTCGGCCCAACGGTTGGAAAAATGCTGGATTGGGGCTGGCGCTTCCGAACAGCGGCCGTTGCCTCCGTATTGTATGGAGTCAGCACATCGCTCTGTGCGATTTGGATGCCTCTGCTTGCGCGGTACCGGCCAAACGATCAGGCAACCGCGATTCCTGAGGGTACTTTATGGTTCTGTGTTTTCGGTACAATTGCGGCACTCAGCGAATTCGCACTGGAAATTTCGCTCTGGAAACGGTGGTTACCGCTCACTGTGCATGCCCAGCAGTACCAAAGTGGTGCAATAGATGGCTCCAAAACAGAGGAGCAGCTGGCGATCGCAAACGCGCGTATGCGCCGTATCACCATGACGATCGATATCGGAATGCCGCTGCTGGTGGGTTGGCTCCTCTCCTCGCGCGGTGAAGTGCAAGGCTCTGTACTTGTGGCGCGTTTCGGGGCGTTTCTGCTAGCTATTCAGCTCGTTGCGCTGTTCAGGGCGAGCCAAATCTGCGCCCGAGGCGAGAACGTGAACGCCTCAAACGAGCAGCAGGATGCAGCGCGGAGAACCGGGCGCAAAGTACAGGGCACAGCATCGACTCGTGAGGAGCCAATCCCAAGCACAACCACTAGAGTCGCGGTTGCGGCTCGAACGGTTTATCAACACCTGCGAGAGCTCTTCTCATCCTGGCGACTATATTACGAACAGGAAACTTTTGTACCATCCCTTGCACATGTTAGTCTCTATTTCACGGTGCTTTCGCCTGGCGGCCTCCTGTTCGGTTTCCTGACGTATTGCGGCGTGAATGGCAGCACCATTGGCATCTTCCGTGCTGCATCCGCAATCATCGGTATCCTTGCAACCTTCAGTTTCGAGATCCTTGTCACCCGTCTCCACTGGTCTGTGCTGCAGGTAGGCCGCGTTGGCGTGCTGTGCCAGCTTGCGTGCTTGCTCCCAGCGCAGCTGCTTTTGTGGCTCGTCCGCGTTCCTGAGGTGCCGCTCCCCAGCGCCGCGCAGAACTCAGTCGCGCAGATAACGTATCAGCAACCGCCCTTGCTCATTGGTGTTCTCGTCTTCGTGACACTCTCTCGCTGGGGCCTCTGGTGCTGGGACACCGCCGAAACCGAAATCATGCAAACCATGGTCGATGCAAGCGCTGTCGGCGAGGTCTCCGCCGTCGAAGCCGCCCTGTGCTCACTCGCTGAACTGCTCATGTACGGCGTATCTTTTACGCTGTCGTCGCCCCGACGGTTTCCGACATTGGCGACCATGAGTACGATGAGCATCTCGACAGGAGCACTAGCCTTCCATCGATGGACAAAACGGCAGGATCGACGTCGCCAGCACCTTGACGCGGAGACAGAACGCGAGGATCGTACACCATTCGAATCAGGCGTTTGACGCGATGCACATGATGCTACGACGCAATTGTCGTTGCTTTCGCGCTCATGCTGTCGATCGAGAGCGGCAACCGTTTGAATGGACGGAGACGCTCACAACGACTCGGTAGCGTGACTTGGGGCGCCGCATGAGCGCCGAGCACGATGCCGAGTCGTTGTGAGCGTCTGCTTGGGCAGCAGCGCTGGCCAGGAAGCAGCTTGCACCAAATATCGTGCACGGAACTTTTATCTGTATCATGTGATGGTGACTGAAATCGCTCTTCGAAGCATTCGCGCTGGTCATTGAAAAGGCGCATCGTCGAATGTATATGGGTTATGGGCGCCCATCTGAAAACCTGAGGTGAACGCAGAGCACTCTTCCGGGCGGTTGCTGGGCGCACCATGCTGCATATGCGTTACTGCCGCCTCCATCCAGACTCAGGAGCATGCCTGCTGACTTCGAAGTCGTGTACGAATTCGGTATCTCGAAGCGATAGCGAAGACCCTGTCGAAGGCACAGCATTCACAACGCGCGATCGGTTGCGCTCGCTGAAGAGACGGTATCGCCACGATGTTCCGGAGGTGAGGACGAGGCCTTGTCCTGCGTGCACCAAGCAGGCAACGCGAAACAATGTGCTGTGCTGGCCCCGAGTCCAAATGCGAGCGAGTTAGGACGTTCGTGGGAACGCAATCGAATAACCTTATCGACGCGTGTCTTGGCGAGCGTGGCAACAGACTTCATATGTGTTCGACGGAATGCATATCCACGGGGCGAGACCTGCGTACTCGATACGGACGATGATCGCGCAGCTGGAGGAATCCGATATGAGGGCTATATCCTATACCGCAAGGAGGCACCACGCACTTACCTGTAATTTGCAATGCCATGCACATGGATTTGTGCGGCTACAAAGGCCACAAACCCTCCAAGTCGACCTGAATCATGCTTGCTCCTTTTACCTTACGTAAATGAGAAACTCGATCGCCAATTAGATGACTTTCTGCGTCTTGGCAGCGTCTGTGAGACCTCGCCCGCTCCTGAATTTGCATGTGTCATCCTCGGTGGAACGATGAGTGCGCACTGCGAACTTTTCGTTCCGAGCGGAGAGAGCGACTTTGGCAACGCTGGACCAGCACACAAGCAGTGCTCGCAGTGGATCAGGTGACCAGTGTGCGGCTTTCTTGCGCCTGGTCTAGGTAGCGCCAAACAACGGCGGCAGCTCTGCCGGCCGCAGTTCGCTCGACGACCGGCTCAGGGCAGTCCTCGGCTAGACGCAGGCGCGGCAGCACCTGGCTCTGGTACGAGTGACGCATCCGGTCAGCACAGCCGTTGCGATTCTCTAGCAACGCCATGGCCTCTTCGTGGATTCGCTCCGGTGTGACGTGCTCCTGCAGCAGCTCCGGCACAATCGCCTGATCCAGACAGACTACATTCACTGCTGACACGTACGGTAGTTGCATCTGGAATAGGTGACGGATGACAAAGGCCGAGGTCCACGATAAACGATACAGCACGATTTGAGGTACACCGAGCACCGCCGCCTCCAAATTTACCGTGCCCGACTTGCAGATTGCAAGATCGGCTGCTGCAAGCACCAGGCGAGCATAATCTCGTGGTACCAGGAAAAAGAGCGTCTCGGGATGCATCTCGCGCAGGTTCGGATCCCATGACGCAATACGTGACGACGGCACGCCCTGATCCAACAAGACACGACGAATTTGATCCGAAAACTCAGGTCTAGCCGTTGGAATGATAAACCGAATGCGCTTCGGGGGGTCCTTCGCCTCTAGCGACTTTTCCATAGCCAGGGCTGCGCGCGTTGTCGCCGGAAGCAAAGCACCGATTTCCTGTAGGCGTGAGGCGACCATCAACGCCACACACACGTGCTCCGAGCTTGTCCATGGAAGCATTGCCCGAGCGGCGTCTCGCGTCACGGGCTCAACCAGATCCAGAATCGGATGTCCTACGTAGACAATTTGCGGCGGTGGATTTGGAAGCGCCCCGAGCTCCTCGAGCTTTCGGCAGTAGAACGCTGCCTCTAGCGGGAAAATCGCAACCAGACAACGGCAGCATGTCGCCAGAATCGGAAAATAATCCAATAGACGGTGCGCTGGCTTCCCATTCGCTTCCCAGATCCACTGCTGAGGTCCGATGTACGAGATTACCGGCACACCAGGCAGGTTTTGGCGAAACCAGGTGGCCAGCGCCATATTCGGTCCAGTGTAATCGATCAGAACGGCGACATCCGGAGGATCCTCGAGCAGCTCCTTTTTTGCTTTTTCGTATGCGAGATAAGCAGGCACCACAAAGCGCAGTGCCTCATAGAGGCCAATGGAGGAGATGCGAAGCGTGTCGGCGTAGAGCTCGACACCTTCTTGTCGCATCGCTGGGCCGCCTACTCCGCGCAGCAGCAGCAGCTGCTGCTGCTGTCTCGAGCCACCTCGATGCATCGCTTGCTGCTTGAGGCTCCGGGCTAGCGCAGCACCGTGCATATCACCAGAGACCTCCCCCGTGGAGATAAAGACCCGGAGCCGACGCGTGGACAGTCGCACGTTGAACAGCCCGGTTCGCTGTTGCCGCCAACGCCTAGAAACCGGATGCCGTTGTCCAAGGCGCGATACTGAGTCCGAGGCGCCTGTCACCGGTGAGCTCGCCCGCTGCCCTGGACGTAACCAGAGCGCACCAGTGACGGGTGCGAATCCCGCAAACCTGCCAGCGAAAAGGTGCCTGCGAGCCATGGCGTGAAACGGAACTGATTGTGCACTAGATAGCGCGAACACGCACTACTACACAGAATCCGCTGCTTCAACGGGTGCTTCGTACCGAAAACCGCCCAGGAAACAGAGAAAAGTATCAGTGCGAGCAGGTAGCGCGCGCTCCAAGCCGGCCAGCTGGCTGGTTGACGGCAGCAAGCCTCGCTAACGAGCACCGTGTTCGCCGCTGGAACCTCCTCCCAAGTGACTGCGTTTCTTCGGAAGGACAAGGAGTGTGCCAGCCGCCTAGACTCGAATGCCGGCCGCGTACTCGCAGAACAACGACAACACCTCGAGAACCAAAGGACAAACGCGTTCTCGCTGCCTGGTCGCTGACTTCACAGCGGATGCCTGACCAAGGCCCCAAGCCGTTGAACCGCGCTGGGCACTCTCGCCACGCTGTATTCGACGAGCTCTTCCTTGGTTTGGTCAGTGAATTCCACAAGAGTGTCTGTCTATGCGGATACGACTTTATTCGCATCTGGCATGGATTGCTCTAGCGTCAGACCATCTACCCCGATGAGTCAGAAGAGTCAGAATTCTTCTGGAAGCTAGACGAATACGATGCCTACAAGTCCACGAACAATTCGGTGCTCATAGCCAAATGCGTCCGAGGGAGACAGCAAAGTTCGCATCAGCGCCAAGGAGAGCTGTGGAAAGCGCAGTGCTGCCGGGTAAGTAACAGCCTGGAGACGTCCGACAAGAGGCAGCGCTCCAGTGAAGCGCTGGGGCTCAACCACGCCACCAGCTATGTCGCTACCCTGTGATATTCCTTCGTGTTCAAAGCATTCCGCTTGTTGTCGTGCATAGTCAGTGGCGGCTTGCGATCGACGCGAGACACAAGCACAACAAGCCTCGCTACGAGCGACGGTTCCGTCAACAATTGAGAGAATAGGAGGCAGCTCCTCGAGCGTCATAGTTACAGTTCGATCGAAACTTGGCGCTTCCCGCCGACCGCGGCCTATGGAGCGGGGCGTCGCTCACGGCTCCGGAGACCCTGCAAAACGACAACGGCGAGAATTGCTCCCATGGTTAGCAGCCAAGGTTTGCTTGCGGAGAGCTTTCTGGAGGGTACTCCCGAGCGCCCTCGCGCTGTCTGCGGTCGCCTGGCTGGGGTTGTCGAAGTCACCGTGTCCGGGGCGCTCTCCGGGAGCGAGGCTGCGCACGCGTGGACAGACTCCTTCGCAGGGTGCGACGCATCGCTTTCACCGTTATGCGCTCTTGACGCCGAGCAGATATACAACTCGTGCTCAAGCCGATCAATTAAACGAATGTAGTCGCCGCAGGCCTTACAGCGTTCGGTACGTGCGCCACAGCGGCGCACGTGGCCTTCCATGTCGCTCCTCTTGACCGGTAGCTCACAGTACACGCAATCCACTAAGGTGCAGGGACACTCGGTCTTCCAGTGTGCGTCCAGTTCTGATTCGTGCATCCGGGAGCCGCAGTGCTCACAGGTACAGGCACCACGGGCGCAGCGAACTTCGTGAAGTGTCCAGTTAGAGAGCGGCACCTGGTGCCCACAGACCTGGCAACGACGAGCCTCAACCTCATTCGGCTCGGTATCAACAACTCGAGCACCACTATTCTCTGCTGCAGTAAGGGACATGAGCCATACGAGAACGAGCCAAGGAGGTTGGTATTCAGTCAAAGCTCACCCGACACCGAAGGCGAGCGCCAGGTTGCCACGCAATACGCTGCTAGCAATCTCGGGGACAATCGCCGGTGCTGCTTCTTGTGTCACCAGCAATATCTCTGCTTGTGCTGCTGCTTGTGCTGCTGCTTGTGCTGCTGCTCGTGCTGCTGCTTGTGCTGCTGCTTGTGCTGCTGCTTGTGCTGCTGCTTGTGCTGCTGCTTGTGCTACTGCTTGTGCTGTTATTGGTGCATCATTTGACGGTTGTCGTTCGCGACTGTCTCATAACGAAGCTTCACTTGCCGCAAGTTGTGGGCGTTGCACGAGAAACGCTGTACCTGGAGTCACCAAGTACGCGCGGCAATCGTGACCGGTACACAGAAGTGAGCGTAGCGCGTGAAGACCTTGTTCGGTCAAGTGCGGTGCTGGAGCAACGGGCGCCAAGCTGGGAGCCAAAGCGACTCTGCCTGGGCGCTTGGAGCTTGTCGTCAACGCGCGGAGCCAGTTTTGTAGCTGGGAATTTTGCACGTGACTGGCTACTAGCACGTTGCGCTGCCGGAGAACTAGCTCTGTGATACGTTGCACAAGAAGCGCGTTCTAGGTACTGGGCTCGAGCTGGCGACAAACTGGTCCTTCAATGTGCGCGGTGTCGAGCTACGTGTGTGTGCCCAAGGTACGCCTTGCTTAGGCGGTGCACGTCGAACAACGGGCACGCGAGAGCGTTGGTATCAACAGCCAACGTGTCGCGCTGATCTTCAACGCTTTCTTTGCTGTCGTTGCACATGCACGACTGGCACACTCCCGCTTACCCGGCACAAGTATCGCTAGACGAAGACAGCAACCCGCACGCGAGCTGTACTTGCGAGAGCGACCATATGTTTGCGTCTTGCTGAGCCTTGCGATGGCAACGCCTGTTGGTCAACTTGATTCCTGTGTCGCCGTGAGAACAAAGCACACCATGATGCATCGCGTAAAACATCAAAAGGTGCAGCTTGCTTCGAATACCGCATCCATGCGCATAGGACGAGCCTCACTCGTGTCTCCAACTTGCTCGATCGACAGACGATAAGCAACGTGACTCGTGTTTTGCAGGGCATCGGGACGCTAGCTGAGTTGAATGAGTGCGCAACTACCTGCTCGGTAACTGATAACATCATGACACGGCGAACGTGGCAATGGGAGCACGTCCGTCGTATGAAATCAGCGCAAGAATCACCGCTGCCAGAATACTGGTATCGACAGCAGCTTCATCGCATAATCTGGCACACATTACGGTTATGTTGCCTCTGGTGTTTCTCTGGAGCGATTCCGAGCACTGGTGAGACGCGAGTCTGGCAAGAAGGTTACCGGCTCCGTGCAAGGATGTCCGGGCGTCCTGACGCATGTTCGCGGGGCGCTCGATGACCATGCTATCGACAATCGGTGCGTGGATACCAGAGCGAATGAGTGTGTGGGTGGTTAGGTTTGCTCCGTAGTGAGACGGCGTGCGTTTGTCGGACTCGCACAGGATGTGCACGGTGGTAGAGGCAGCGCCCTGAACGAGTGTCCTGGCGGGGCGCTCGTCTACATGATTGTTTGCGCAGACACGCCCCAAAGATGCCGCGTATAGCAAGGAAGGATATGGTGCTGGGGGGTACTGCTATGAGCGCGCGCGCTCAGTCGCTCGCCCTCGACTCATGGCAGACTGAAAAGAACCACATAACTGCGCGCTTTTGTTCCTGGTCTTCGAGGTTCTCGGACTGTTTTTTGACCTGCAGACTTGAGACTAAAAGTCCGCCAGTACGAACGTTCCGACGTATTCGTAGTTTTAGGATTCTGGGTCGAATGTTCGAAGTGGTTTATTCAACGCCTTGCCGCTAGAATTTGGTACACCATCGGATTCTTCATGATTCGGGATGCTCTTATACGAGGCCTTTCAAAAGACTCTATTTCATGGTCCAGTGGATACGCAGGAGCCTCGGCTTGTCTCCTTTCCTCCGAAGCAGCGTGCGCATATCACGCATGGTTCATGTTTCCAAACTCCCTGGGCCAAGGTATTGCGAAGGCGCAACAATGCCTTCTGTTGCAATGACCATGGATAAACTGGGCGCCGTCCTTTCTCGATTTCTCCACAAGCTCAAACATAAAAGTTCATTGAACCTGTCACGGCTAGTAATTCTATCTGTTCGAAAGGTGTGCGTCTCTCTGTGGCGGTTTGCAAAACGGCACGCAACAGTAGCATCATCATATTTCGCACGGATATGCTCCCGGAGACTCGGGTCTCTTCTGTTTGCGCGTAAAAAAAAGATCTTGGATACGAGTTCGTCTCGTGGCTACCACAGCTCCCTGTGGAAACGCTCCACCGAACTGCCCCAGGCGAGCGCATACGGATCGAAATATCTCGATTTGTGCTTCAGCCTGGGGTTCCTTCCCGGTGCTGGTTTCACCATAGACGAAGTTTCGTCCCGCAAATCTTCGACAGAATGGAACAGCCTCCGCTTGATTCTCCGGCCGACGGCCTACTTGCCAATACAGTCGCCATGCAGTAGCCCGTGAACGTAGGATACGGCACCCGGTGTGGAAACTGGGGAGACCATCGCGCGACCCTTCCCTGGCCCGCACGGGCATGTACCGAGCGGTGCGACAAGCCTTCGTGGGCTGCAGGGCGAGCCCGCGCTGCAGCAGGTGCACCAGACCTGCTGCAACATCCGAGCATTGCCAGGTGACACCGCTGCAAAAGGCGCATCGTTCCTGCCACCAAAGTTCATGAAAAAGGCAACAGGAGCGTAGGTTGCAACGAAATACTGCATATGAGAAGCGTGAAAAGCAACCAGAGGCAGCGAGGTCGGAGCTATACCGCTGTTGAGTACATCCTTCAACAGCTCACAGCAACAGTGCAAGATAGACACGAGAAACAAGCCCAGTCAAACTTGCAGAAAAAAAGAGCGGAAAAGGAAACAGTCTCCGAGAAAGTCCGCAAAGCCTGCTATCGATAGCAGCGAGAACAGGTTCAAAGTTTGCCGTTTCCGCCCTCGGTCGCTATGCGAACTCCTTCTGTTTGAGTCGTTCTTGGCTCTACCGAGCAGCGAAACAGGATCCCTGCTGTCAACAACGACGCCCTGAGCGTGCCCAATGGCCACCCAGACCACTCGGTACACTTATACCACCTTTCCGATTCCTCAGCGCTCGCGTACAACATACAGCACCGCGTACCGCGAATACAGCAACGCTGCCCGCCAGTAAACGACGCCGCCGCTCGCGAGCGCAACGACAGCGCCCAGATACGCAAAGCGCGAACACGACGCGCAGATACGTCATGCGCTCGTGTGAAGCTCGGCGGCGGCGGCGGCTCTCATACAACGCACGTCGTTGGGAGATCTCCTATCCGTTGGGGGCGTTGTGAGCGCATCCGTGTGCACCATGCACAGGTGGCGTGACACGGCTGCATCTCGGTGTGCGTGTCGCGCAGCGTGACACGGCTGCATCTCGGTGTGCGTGTCGCGCAGCGTGACAGTCACATAGTACGTAACTGCGTCGCTTGTTGTTGAAGTAAAAGCTATAGGCTCTGCTCGAAAGCGCCAACCTTATGTCTTGCAAGCGTGCTCTTTTCGTGTTTTTGACGCTCGTGTTTGTCTTGTCTTTTATGCAGGAACCCGTTTCGGGGCAGACTTGTTCCTATCTGTGCTATACAGAAAACCGCACGATTGAGAAAACTATTCATACGGACTGTTCCTCCTGCAGTCCAAGTCACCTCTGCAGAGACTTGAGCTTCTTTTCCAATTGCAAGGACGGCACTTTTGACGCTCAGTGGTACACCAGTTTTCTGGATGTAGACTACAGTGTCAAGAGCGTTCCTTGCCCGTCCTACATTACGTTTCGCTTGGTTAACTATCATTACCTCGAGGCCAACACGATATGCTTCGACGAATGCTGCAGTGCCAATGATGTTGCTGTTAAGTATGAACCGTATCGGGCCAAATCCGATGGGCATCTGTACAAAGTCGATTATGCAGGTGTGGCGAAGATAAATGCAGACTGCTTCGTGGGAACTATTGCATGGGCTGCAAATGCCAGAAACTGGTCTATCAACGGCGAGAGCACGGACGCATTTGGCGTCATCGTGTACATTCCGCACACGGGAAGCATTTGCGCATACTGAAAACGCAAGGGAGGCTCCATGGAAAGCTGAGTTCTTTGAATGCAGGCGAACTACAGCATAGATAGTGCGCCATCAGGAAACATGAAGGTTCGGGCACAAGTCCGGAACGGCAAGCTCTACAATGGTTGTAAACGGCAGGTGTGCGTTTCGTATACTAATCGAGTGGTCGCTGACGCAAACTCAGCACCGAAAGGGAACTGCCGACTCTCTCCGAATGTTGCGTGCGTCCGGCACCAGCTTGCGCGGGACACCAGACCGCTCAGGTGTCTTGGTCGGCAGTCTCGGCCCGACGTGCCTGAGCTGAGCAACCGTTTACGCCACATCGACACACCCAATCAGTGTCGTGCTCTAGATTATCAAGCTGTTATACGTGTGATTTTCGGTGACAGGACGAATACGACTATGTCGCCCGAGCTCATCCGGCAACGCTTCGTCGACGCGGCTGGCTTCGATTTCTTCGGGATAACCAGTTCCCGAGATTCTCACCGTCCAAGAGGTCCGGTGCAGGCACACGAGTGCTAACCGATATCGTGTTTACCGCATCGTCTCAATAAAATCAGATGCGTCGTTAGAAGCGCATCGCGGGTGCAGCGTCCTGCTTCAGGGAAATAATGACACATACATACACATCTGCCGCGCACCACATCGCGCGCTGCGGCCTAGATACGTGATGCGCATTTTTTTTTCATTGATAAAACGTTTTCTTAGGCCAGCGTTCCCCGATTATGCGCATTTTTCTTTTCTTACTTGTTTTGTGTGTTTTTTTTTCAGTGCGAGGAGAGGTGTCCATCAACACCATACTCTCAAATTACATTACCCATGTTTCATCTCGGATATTCTTGTCGCCTCATATGTCCTATCGTGTGTTCCGAGTGCCTGCCGTTCCGTATCCGCCTTGGCACCTGAACCGCTGGAGCAGATAGTTCATAGAGCTAGAACAGCTTTCCTATACCTCAGAGGGCGTCGGCTCGAGGCGTGGTTCACCCGACGTAGAATCGGGTCTCGTCGTCAGTTTGCGCTCGGGCAGTCTGCGGATGCAGGCCTGCCTTCGCTACACGACACGCTGGAGAAACTTGGCTGTTAGGATGAATTCTGGGAGCCGCCTCTCTTCCTCGTGATCATGCACGGAATGCGTTCTTGGTTGGCAATGCGGGTTTGTGCTTGACACCCACCACAGAAGGTAGGCGCAGAAAGCGCACTGCGCCCGTATGCGCATCCGATTCGCTGGACCTTTTACCTACAAGGTAGCATGTGAGTTTTTTGGCCACTAATGAGCGCTGAGGCTCGGTTAGCGGACCATCAATTGCCAGTGCTACACTCAGAGTGAGTGTCCGACCTTCGTCTATCACGGTGATGCCCAGCTGCTGCTGTCCTTCAAGGAGCTCGCTGCGCTCCTGTTTCCAGCGCGGCCACTGTAGGCCTAAATGTGTCAGCGTCTCGGGGGTCTCGTTTCCACAGCAGGGACAGTGTGATTCCCAGTGCGATTCCAGTGTTCCTATACGGCTTAGAGCCGGTGCTGCTAGCCAGAAGCCACCAACGCGCATTTTGGCGAGCCACTGGGTACCTCGAGCAAGTCCCGGGAATTCCAGCGCCTCCCGCCAGTACTTGCATGTGTATGCTAGGGTGTAGTTCCGGTATAGAGTAAAGCCGGCGTTACCGGCGCGACTTGTTCCGTGTCTACGATCCCATATTGGTGTTTGGACCGTTCGCTTGAGGCGGCGGGAGCCTTCTATATCCCTGGGGGAAAGATTGGGGAGCGTGTTTTCGCCCAAGAGGCGCTTCAGCCAAATCTGCGTCGATTTCATCCAAGAGTTCTTGCGGTGCGTTGGGGTCTGCATGAAAATCCGACTCAAAGAGGTGCGCATAGTGGAGCCCTTCGCCCGTATACATGCCCGGCAGCCTGCTGCTATCGCCTCTGTCGAGGGTATTTGGAGTTCAAGTCCGAGTGCCAGCGCGGTGGTTGCTCTGCTCTGTACTGAGCACCCAACAACAACGAGTCGCATTGCCCTGTTGGCGGCTGCCTGCAGACGCGAGGCATTTGGGTGCTTCATGCCGCACCATTCAGCACCCCAGGTCGCAGGCTGGATGATACACATCCTTAGTGCGCTGGTACGGATTGCTATGCAGGTAGAGGGGTCGGATAAGAATGGGCGTGCGATCGCTGTACGTCTATGCATCTTGGCGATCATCTCGTCGACGTGTGCCTTTTCGTCGAGCGTCGATGTGCGACAGACCCCCCAGGTAGCGATATTTTTCCACGATCGGAATTTCCTGATTCTGCAACCGCCACGAGCGATTGCGAATGCTCTGCGAGTCTCCATGAATGACCATGACGCCGCACTTCGATGCTCCTATGCTTATCTCCCAGCGATCGGCCCAGTCGCTGACTTGTTCCATGCTACCCGCAAGCGTTTCCGGGGCGGGTACCAACAGCACGACATCGTCCGCAAATAGAAGGCCTGCGAGGCGGTTCCTACATGAGGGCTCCTCATCGGGCATCTCCCCAGTCTATCCACGGCACCTCAAGCACGTATTGTCTGCAGTTGTTCAGCAGGTCGTTGATGAAGATGTTGAAAAGGAGCGGGAATGCGGGATCGCCCTGTCGCAGTCCACGGCGCATTCTTATCGAAGGGGTTCTTGAGCCGTCGCCCAGTCGGATGCGCATCCATGAGTCTACATAGAGCGCACGGAAGAACGCTAAGCACTTTTCGGAGACTCCGGCACGTTCCATCTTCAGAAATAGAGCCTCGTGCGGGACCGTGTCCGAGGCCTTTTGGAAGTCGATGAAGCATACGTAAGTTGGTTGTTGGTCGCTAGTGAAGCGACGTTGCACCACTTCAATGAAGGTCAGGGCATGGCTCATGCACTCCTCGCGGCTCCGGAATCCAGCCTGTTCTGGGGCGAAGAACTTGCGCTCCTGGAGGCCGCTGTGGATACGGTTCGTGAGGATGGCGCAAAGTAGCTTCATGATTGACGGGATGAGGCGAATAGGCCGG